CTCAATTCTTCACTCATTCCCTACAATCCACTCAGAACTTTCTTTAAATCAATCAATCAATAATCCTCAAGCAGCAACAATATGGCGTTGGTATTGTGTGATGGAATTGGGAAAATCTGCACCGGCTGCTGTGACTTGGTGGGTCAAGTGTGCCTGCTTCCCTGCAAAGTGTGCGACGCCTGTTGCAAAGGATTCGGTCAATGCTGCAGCGAGTCCTGTGCATTTGTCACTGGCTGCTGCTCGTCGCGATTTTGCTGTCACATTACGGTGACAATAGCATTGAATCTTCCACCCATCCTACTGGGTCTCATGGACTTGCCCAATGCGGTGGGTGGTTGTCCGGGGAGTCTGTGGTTGTTGGTCTTGGTTGCTTCTCGCTGGTGCATATCGTGGCAGCCTTTTACATGGCATACGCAGTGGAAAAGGACGAATCCATCTTGCCGTCGCGAGACGGAGAACACACGGCATCAGGAGGAGCCAATCGCATGTGGAAATTGTTTTGTTACGATGGCTGGATGGCCGCCTATATTTTGGTCGCGTGTGGATACTTTGGATGGCTCCTCTTGGGAGGCTTCTGGTATGCGACAGGAAACGTGGACGACAATGGAGCCTGTGATGAAGGGATCGGTGGAACTTTTGGAATTGCCTATGGATTTGGATGGGCCTTTCTCTTTTTGGGTGGATGTGGATTGGGCTGTTCCGTGTGTTGTGGACTCGTCATGGATCCTCCTGGTAGGTCTGAACCGCCACCTCCAGCCATGCAACAACAGCCACCACAGCAATACAGTACTACTGCTACACCTGCTGCTGCTAGTGCCAAGCCCACGGCAAGTGCCACAGTGCCCACGGCGAGTGCCACTGTGCCCATGGACGCCGCAGGAATTCCCGACAATGACAAAACACAGGCGGCTCCTGCTTCCTCTGCTGGCCTGGGTGGACTCATTTCGAGTTTTGTGCAAAGCGCTACAAAGCCTGCCAGCAAACCAATGATGGCATCGTCAGATCCAGTCGAAGTGGAAGCTGTGCCAGCAGCAAACCCGCAATACAACAAGAATGCTCCCATGGCATCCGCTGTTCCATACTAACAAATTGAATTGTTCATTCAACAGCAAAGACCACCTCCAGTTCAATCAATACCTGTAACAATGAAAAGTAAGCCTTGCCATCATGACACGAGACGGCACACACAAACCGTGGCGAAAACTGCCACGCTTTTGGGATCCTGTACCGGTACAAAAACTACAACAACGGATCCGCATTCTCCAGAGTGCAATCATACCACAGTAATTTACATTAGACACAAACTTCATAAGGTCCTCCTTACAAAATCACTCTGCCTGGCTCATGCAGATACGAATGACTGCGATACTAGTAGTTTACGTTTGGAAGTAAAAGATCCATGCTACACTGTAGTGTTCTTCCCAGCCAGCAACTTCTTTCCTGTCACGCCTTTGGCTTGAGCAGAGCCCAACGTGCCAACATACATGTACATACAGTAGTGGCTATATCAATTCAAAGAAGATTAAAACATAGCAACACCACTCTACAAATGAGGAAACCGGGCCGCTGTATCCAGGTACTTCTTGCCGATCAGATTGTCAGTTTTCTCAATGGAAAGTACTGGCACCGGCCCTTCCGGAACAATCAATCAACTGGAGAGGTTGGCTACTCTCACGATTATTCGCCAATGAAATACCAACTTTATGAACCGGCTGACAATGAGAAGGGTCTCGTTCAGGGCGCCATCATGGCCTTCAGTGCGCCCATCTTGCCTTGGGCTCGCACAGTCTAAACTTGCACACTTGTTGGCTGATCACCTGTACTACCGTATCGTGAGCGTTCCTCTTGTTTCTGTTGCCAACGGCGATATTGATTGTTGATTGAAGGCAGAAGCAACAGATCCACAAATAAACTCTATCGGGGATCCAGTTGATAAAAGCCAAAGAATTGGACAAAAATTGATGCACTACCCCATGGTGTCACAGAGCCTATGATTCTCGTCACGGCTCCCACTTTGTCATTGCATCGCAGACAGCCCCATTTGACCATCAAAGAAGGGACAAATTGTTCGAAAGCCTTCAATACAACAAGTTCAGGAATCTAGGCAGGAAGATTTGGGCGGAAAGAGTCTTCTTGGGCTCAGCAGTGGACTCAGGAAACAACTGACAAGAGCAGTTACATTCATTCATCGCACGTGAGGATGACGTACGTAGCTGCATCCTTTCTTCAGCTTTTCAAGGACCTGTTGTAGTCTAGTACAAGCCCACAACTTGTGCCAACATTAGCAAGAATTGACCCCCATACATAATAAGGTTTCGATTCGTTGCCCGGATGGCTAAAATCTTCATGTACCGGCATCGGTACCGTCGTCACCAAAACGCGACCCTCGTCAAACACAACTTCCAAACACAAGGTTTTTTAACAGGGTGTCCCCACCTTTCGCGCCCCACACTTGGGCACAACGTCATCGCTGTCATCAAGCTTGAGTTAGTACCGGTTGTAACTGAACGAACGGATAAAACTCATGTACCGATACCCGTCATATATCAGAACAGAACAAATGGATTTTCATCCACTGCGAACAGTCCTAGAGCGTGGCCGTCCTCAGCAAGGCGCATTTTGAAATCGTTCACAGGCCGTCCTGGAACGATACGACAACCACTTCGCTACCAGTTCGGTCGACAAAGTAGTGCGAGGCATCAGTCGTTCTGGTCAGACCAAGGCATTACCAGAGGGCCACTAGACTAGATGAATCTATATTCTTCCCTTGGTTGGATCCAATGAATTGAAAAATGCCAAAACTCATCCAAAGCCGGTACAACTCGTATCCTTTGGAGATAAGAAGACTGCTAGCTGTAGCGGTTTGAAGATCTGTTACGGCCGACCGTTGCCTAGCAAATGCTTCCGGTCCCACGAGACTGCAATCACATGTGATCTATGACAGTTTGTTGCTTCTCAGCGCGAGATGCAACGAGACACCTTGATGGCATTCCAAAACCTACATACCTGAAGTGTCTCTGCTGTTGGGAGACCCAAAGTCACAGTGGAACGATCAAAGACTTTCCATCCCTTGAAAGACAGCTGGCGCCCATCCTTTCGGGACACGGACAACCGATGAATGCGCGATCCACATAGTAATATACTATAAATCTCGCAGCACAATAGGATGTCAGCGACTCAGATGATCCTTCTTACGACAACAACAACAGAGGACCAGATAGTGTATGGAGAAGCAAGAGCCTGTCGTCGTGCAACAAAAACACTTTTGGTTTCTCTTTTTCGCATGCTGCCACCATGGCCCGGCTGGTGGGAGTCCATGGTGCACCTCGCGGATGCAATTTTCACCTGACAGTGTCTAGTTAACTGTCATATTACCCGCTCTAACCCAACGGTAGTTCCACGAGTAAATTCATTTAAACAAACCACATACAATGTATATAAACAATTTTATGCATCATTCTAAGTACTCAAATTTTTCAAAAGTCATATGTCGTTGGCATAAGTAAAAATTTCTAGTCAATATGTGTTTCTTTTGAAATCCAACTTATTCTTGAGGTACACTAAAAGTGACCAAAATCCGGAATGGTTCTTGTTTTTGCGTTGGTCTGACGTGACTTTCTTCCTTCTCAGGGGGAGCTTCTGGATTTGACTCACTCTTTGGTAAGACCTGGTCAGGCTGAAATTTAAAGGTATACCGTCTGGCCGAGTACTGGTTTCATTAAATTCCTCCAGCGTTGAGGATCCACATACCGGTGAAACATTGTACACTGTGTACCGGTACCTGTGGTAACAGTCCAATCTTCCATGCTTTCTTTTGTTAGTTTGGACAAGAGGTCAGACGCCAAAGTCAAATTGTTGTGTTGATAGTTAATTCAAGGGAAGTGTTGAAAGAACACATTCTTTATGGTCTGAGCGATCCATTTCCGAGAGATTATTGGTTGATGTAAAAGGATTGTGCTGTCACAGCTGTCACACCGTCACACCCGAGGCCTCGGCCCTCGGCCGGCCCGGCGTCCGACCACTGTGCTCGACCTTGGAAGCCGAGCGTCTTCAACCCCTCCAAAAAGCTTTTCAGAGGGGCTCGTTCAAACTCACGCAGCGAACCCCTCCACTCTACTACCAGACCCTTCCCATCCACATCACTTCTATCCATCAAGCTGTCTCATTCATTCACCCATTCAGCTTTATCACTCGCATGTTTGTTTATCGTACATGACTGCAAGCATCCCTACGAAAGATACTCTGATTGTTGTGGCTGTCTTCTTCTCATAAAGAAGAAGAAAGGCAATACGATTGTGAAGACGGATTCGGATTCGACCATACATACCATAGCAACCATGGCGTGCTCTAATACGAGTTCCTCAGCTGCTGCTGCAGCAGCCAACAGAGAGACGGATCCCTTGGCTCCTTTGGAGTGGTCGATGGATGGGAATTCCTCTTCGGAAGACGTCTCTTTGGCTCTGTTGAACGAAGTGGAGTTGGAGCAAGACGATGATGGAGCTGCGCGCTCTTGCTCTCCGTACACGAACACTACTACTAACGGGAGCTCTAACGGGTCTCTGGCAGAAGGAAACAACAAGCGTAAGAGAGACGAAGAGAGAAACACCCAACCTCAAGAACAGCACTATCGAAGCGTTCAAGTCTTGGATCATCACAATAGCAACAGCAGTCAGACTTGCGCTGCTCCACCGGTCGATCCATCATCACTGTGGATGACAGCAGACGAACGTCCTCGTGTCTCTCGTCGTCGCAAGAAGAAACCAAAAGGTTTGCCCAAGCGTCCCATGAATGCCTACGCGATTTTCTATCATCAAGAACGGTTGAGGATGGTGCAGTCCTTGACGGTGGGCAGCATCTCGGAAGATGACATTCAGCGTCAAGTCGGAGATCTTTGGCGTGATTTGCCACAAGACGAAATCCAAAAGTTTGAGAAAATGGCAGAAGACGACAAGGTACGCTATCACGAAGAAATGGCGGCGTACCACAATAATGCGAACAATAATAGCAACAACGACAGTAAGGAGCCCCTCAAGGCAAACAACCTGCAAAAGGACATGCGCAAGGACCTGGAAGACGATCGAGCGGGTCACTTGACCTATGATTTCCCACCTCCTCCTCCCGGTGTCATGGTGATTCCTGGTGGACGTGGTGGTCCCAGTGGTGGTGGAAGTGGTCGAGAGTCTGTGGCATCCAATGCATCTGCAAGAAGAGACAGCAGCAGTCCAAATTCCCCCGTTCCTCCTCCCATTGCATCTCGATGGAACCACTACCAACCACCTCCACCTGCCATGCCACAAGTTCTTCCTCCTCAAGCATACCTTCGTCCACCTTCTGTCGCCAGTGTAGTACACTCTCCGTCTCGAGGAGTGGGACGAATGGTACAACAGCCGCCGCACGGAGGACACTATCATCAGGAACAACAATACTATCATCCACCACACCCGATGCCACCCGCATCGTGGGGACCACCCAGTCCCTACTCTCCTCGATCGGCGGTTCGCCACTTGGCACCACCTCCTCTTCCATCCATTCCTTCTTCCAACAGCAGTGGTCGAGCGTATTCACCACATATATCACTAGCACCTGCTGCTGCCTACGGTCCTCCAACTGCCTACTCGATTCCACCGGGAATGGAAATGGCTTTGCCCACACGCACGGGAGGAGAACAAAAGTACAAGGTCACCTACCGATGCTACACTATGCGCAAGGAAGATTTGCCCAGCTTTATGGAGAGTCTCAATGCATCGAATAATAATACGAATACAGCAGCATCGTCGCGACCTGCTCCGGTGCAACGATCGGAATCATTGCCACCCCGACCTGCGTCGGCCTATTCGTCCCATCATTCACACGCTCCTCCTCCGACGATGCCTCATCCACAGCCATTGATCCATCATCACCCTTCTTGGTAGACCAACCACAACAAAACACGAATTGAATTGGATGCATTTTCTTCCCATCAATCAATCAATCATTGCATGAACAGACTGCGCGTTGCATTCTCTCTATTCATTCATTCCATTCGGCAAACTACACACACACACACACATGTTGTACAATACATGCAAAAATCTACACCAGGGCATCGCAAATGGAGGCATCATCATGGGCACGCCCACTTGATTGTATTACTGAACGGGTTTCATTTTTTTTACTACTTTTTTTTACGTTGTTACGATTGTGTGTCTTTTACTACTACTAACTAATTCATGAAAACCTATTTGCTAGATTTGATGATTTTACATGAAATAGATCTGGACTAAAGTACAGTATTCTTGCGCTCAAGCATTAGGTGATTGACTTATTTCTAGTCTAGCTCGACTCACTCCTTCTCCCTGGGTAGTATGGTGGGCGTCCCCGTTGCGGAAGGCAAGTTTCCTGGCGGGCCATGCCCCCCCCCCCCAGAGCCTCTCTTCGTCGACCTAGCTCCGCTCAACAGCTCTCGCAGAAGAGACGGGTCTCGCCTCCACGTCATGCAAGGCGGCTACGGTACAGGTGCCAACCGCGAGAAATCCCATTTGAATCCAAACCGCCAAGCCTGTCTATCGTGCGAAAGGGAAGGTCAGATTCAATCGGTTGTCCCTTCCGTTACAGATTGATGACATGCAATACTCAAGCAAGTCGACAGTGTAACGATACTTATAGGTGTTGTCTTGGCTTTCCTCCGTGGGTTTCCTTCAGCTGTCTCTCCGACATGACCAACTGCAAGCCAAAATGAATTTCGATCCATTTTTTAAAGCCTGCGCACAGGCAGCGTTGCACAAGCAGTCGTGCAAGCCTGAGCATCCTGACATCACTCTGACGTCAAAACTACGGAATATAGGGTTAGGATCAAAGCTCAAAATTTACACGATTGAATTGATTAAATCGAATCAATCGAATAATAAAGTCAGCGGGAGCTGCGATACCTCGGCAGAAAGACAGATAGAAGAAGGATGACATGTTTGAGATTGCACTCTTCTTTCAAGCTAACCCTTTCGCCGTGTGTTGCCGCCCGGTATCATTCCCTCATTGTAACCTTTTTTATTTAGGCTAGCCCTGGCGACAACACCCGACTTTGTCGGGTGTTGTCGCCCGATAACCATAATTTTACAGCTGTCATTCCCTTATGTAATTGTAACCTTTGTAGCTTCTGCTGGCTTATTGTGATGAGTGCACTAACCTTGAATAATCATGATTTTATTCCTACCCATAAACTTGTTAAACCTTCAATTTCCAGTTTTGTTGGCTTACACCTATCTCTATCCCTAATTTTTGGCTTCACCGGAACAGGAAATAGGAAATAGAATAAGTCAGCGGGAGCTGCGATACCTCGGCAGAAAGACAGATAGAAGAAGGATGACATGTTTGAGATTGCACTCTTCTTTCAAGCTAGCTCTGGCGACAACACCCGACTTCGTCGTGTGTTGCCGCCCGCTAACCATAATTTTACAGCTGTCATTCCCTTATGTAACTGTAACCTTTGTAGCTTCTGCTGGCTTATTGTGTTGAGTGCACTAACCTTGAATAATTATGATTTTATTCCTAAACCTTCAATTTCCAGTTTTGTCGGCTTACGTCTATCTCTATCCCTATATTTTGGCTTCACCGGAATAGGAAACAGCATTTAAGTCAGCGGGAGCTGCGATACCTCGGCAGAAAGACAGATAGAAGAAGGAGGATTATGTTCAGATTGCATCCATCTTTCAAGCTAGCCCTGGTTACAACACCCGACTACGTCGTGTGTTGCCCCCCGGTATCATTCATTCCCTCATTGCAACCTTCTTTTTATTAAGCTAGCCCTGGCAACAACTGCACTACGCTAAAAGCTAGTGTAAAGATCTTTCGAGAAACGTGCACTTACGCTAAAAGTTAGTGTAAAGTTTTTTCGAGTGTTTTGAGTTTGAGAGAATGAAAGTTATGAGAGGATTAGAAAGCTATGAAAACTAATCAACGAGAGAGATCCACAATCAAGGATCGTAGATCTGAACTCCCGCGGGAGACTGTAAAATGTGTGATAGGTAGGTTGCGGTAGCAATCCTACTCACTCCACGATCCAAAAACGGAACGCGTGGAAGATTCGTTAGCATTTATCTAGTAGCGTGGAATCTCTCCACGCCAGCTAAATATCTAGCGCGATGTTTCACCATCGACCTAGTATGACTAGCGGTCATGAGAACCCTGTCTCAATGATATTTACGAAAGACTCAGTCATGAGTCGAACTCAAACCCTATCAAGATCGAGTCGCAAATAAGGCTAATAGCCGTGTATTCATTCGCCCCCTGACAAGGGTCACGGAAGGCACGACAAAGTCGGACAAGGAGAACATATGAATTAAAGTCCGGGGCACTCTCCGGAGATTGGATTGTAGACATGTGCGTCCACGATGGCAATCCTACAAAGGATCAGGCCTTGTATGGGTGTAAATACTTATGTTCCAATCTGTAGACTGTGCCGCCATTGGCGGTAGCATGTCGGAGCCGTAAGTGCCATTGTTATTGACTCGGTCTATGTGGTAAGGACCTTTGTACTTTGGCTGACCGTACTTGCGGGTGCTGATACTGATGAAACCTCATAGTATCGTTGACATTGTGTTGATGAGGGACACGTGTCGTGTTCTCCCTATCGTTGTTTTTCTGGATAATGTTGGCGACGTCCTTGATGTATTTCCAGTTTGCTTCGAAACGGGATTGTGAATCGTCACGATATGACGCGCGTGAATTGCGACGAAGTCCATGTTATCCCGAGAGTCTTCTCGACCTCTGCGCGGAACTCACGTCCTCTGTCCATGATAACCTCAGCGGTCATGGATACTGGTAACCCACGTCTGTTTAGAACGATGGTTACTCTTCTGCTGTCTTGAGCAGACCTTGGTAATCCCGAACCATTCGTTACGGGATCAATCATTGTCCAGCAATAAGTGTACATGTGATCGTCTGATTATGTATCTGGCTGGTAGTTCTTGGTCCAATGAATCTACGAATTCCTTCCTTTCGTAGGAGAGCGATAGCTGGATCGCATCTATGTCCTTTAGTAAGGGTGGATTCCTTCTCGAGTAATCCAATGGTCCTAGATACTCAAGTTCTTCCTTTCGAGGGAGGCCTTGGTAATGTTGATTTTAAATCCGACTTCTTGAAGTCTTTTGAAAATTCATCTAACTATTCAACGTGATCTACTAGATCGTCGTCAGATAGGATGAGTTGATCATCAAGTATGCACGGACATTTTCTAAGTCATTCATGCTTGTTTTCATCTTCCTTTTGAAGATGTCGGGGCTATAGCATAGGCCAATTGGCATAGCGTGCTGATTCGTCTGGATTCGGTAGCCTGTCTCGCATCCTTGGGATCGGACACGGTTTTGCTTAATCTTTTGTTCAGTTCCCGAAGTCGGAGATGAACCGTGTGGATCCATCCTTCTTGGAATGATAACATGTGGTGCCGTCCACTCGGAACAGTTTATTTTTTTAAGTACTCCTGCTTGCGAGACGTTCAACCTCTGTTGAGAGTGTTGGTATGGACACGTGGAGTAGGGTGACCCTAGTATAATAGGATTTAGCGTCGGGACGAAGTTCTACTTTCGTAGTCGTCCATTGCAACTCTCCCAAAGTATCTTCGACTGGTTCGAGCACTTGGTCGAGAAGGCATGAGGCAGCTCTTGCTCTTCCTTTATTTAACTGATTCGACTCTGGCACATCTGCCTTAAGTCATCTGTTCGTATGTTCGCATCAAGAATCTTCTTGAAACTATCTGCACTGTCGCTGACAGCTGCAGGATCAGGATGGAGAAGTTCTCTTCTCTATCGTATGCCATCTTTCCAGGGAAAATATGCTGTTCCACTCCATTATGGTAGTGAAATCAAACTTGATTCTTAGGTCGGAGAGAGAGTCTTGACCTATGATCACTCTACGCCCCCAAGTTCTTGTGACGTGTAAATTCCATTCGATATTCTATATCGTGGAACTCAGGAATCATAAGTGTGCCCTTACACTTCGTGCGGGGGTTCAATTCCTTTACAGAAGCAGTCCGTAGTGTTTGGACGCCCCATGATTCTTCATGAGTAAACTCTAATGAGTTGAGTTTGAGTAATTAAGTTCCGGATGCTCCTGTATCCAGTAAGCACAAGAGTGTAACGGGTTTTGTTTCCCTTTCTCTGTTTGTTAAATCTAACATAACGATATTTTGAGGTCTCTTGCTTGCGACTTGACGAGTTGGTTGGCCATGGACGAAGTTAACGATGCTGAATAGATCGTCAGAGTCTAGTTGAGCAGCTTCTAGGCAAATATCTAATTTGCCGTAGACTTCATTAGTTGCAAACAAATCTTGTTTACTAATTAGTGAGATATCTTCACACTTAGGTTGAGAAATCGGAACATGGTTCCGTGAATCATCATCCTGCCTAATCCTCAGACGGAATCTCTCCATCCGAAGTGATTGAAGTCGAATTCGGCAAGCGCCTTGTCAACGGCAGCCATTTCTTGTCCACCGAGGAGTTGTCCTCGTTGTCGGTCGTCTGACTTGCGCTTGGCAACATGGTTGCATTCGCTTTTCTTCTTGCGATCAGCCTTGACTGCAGCGTTGGAGACTTTCTTCATAAGGACGAGAGTTCCTCTTGGTGTAGGACTTGGCTCGTCGACTTGCGTTTCCAAGTCTTTTTCTTGTTGTACGCTGCTTGCTATCGTTGTCAGACGAGACTGAGACTTGGCCTTGAGCTTCTTCAGAGTCATGCAGTCAGCAGTGTTGTGAGTGCTGGACTCGTGGTAGTCGCACCACTTTCTTCGTTCTTGGAAGGAGTGGTTTCGTTGTTGCGAGTAGATTTGTACTTCTTTCTGTTGTTCTTCTTCGAATTCTTCGAAGGAGCTTTGCTTGGCATCACCGCCCTGTCAAAGTCTTCGGAGGATTCCATGCGTTCGCAGAACTCAATGGTTGCTCCGATAGGAGCTGAGAAAGGATCGAAGTCCTGTTCGTCCATCTTCTTCATCACGAGCGTGGAATTCCATGACAACAATGTCAATGACTTCGTCATGGTTCACGTTTGGTTGGTCCAAAAGGTGGTAGACGAGGAAGTTCATCGGTGTTATCCGACTGAGGTTGTTGACATAGCCCGAGTAGACATGATCAGCAGGCTTACGCATCTTGCGGCGCATGAAGTGTTTCTGCTTTTCAAGAGCTTGTAGGGACAGACCGCTTCGACACAGGCATTTATGCCAAACGTAATGTCATGTCGTCCAAAGCAGACTGAGCTGCTCCGTTCCAGGCAGCTGGAAACGCGCTTGGAAAGCGGCTTCGTCTTCACAGCCACGTACGTCGCGTGAGGAATCGCGTTGACTGTCAATCTGGCGCAAGGCATTCCAACGTATTTCACGATGGCCTGCACAGCTAGATTCGTAACTGCTCTTGGCAGAGCTAGAATCATCCCTTGAGGAGGTTTGTTTGTCGTCAGCGTAGCAATGGCGAGCCCATGAAGACCTTCTCCATACGTCAGCCCACTTGATGTTTGACGTGGAGTTCAGATCATTGATGATTTGGACCTTAAGGTGTACTTGGCTGTTTGCTCTGCAGAATGGTCGAAGTTTGTAGGTGGTGAGGCGAGAATCGTCGATTTTGCATTCATCGTCGAGGTCGATGGAGGAAGGATTGGTTTGCGCGCAGCTTAGACTCGAACTGGTGTATGCGTCTTTGGCAATCTTCATGGTGAGGAATAGGTTGAGGTAGCTGAAAGCTATTGTGTTTGTTAACAAATGCACTACGCTAAAAGCTAGTGTAAAGATCTTTCGAGTGTTTTGAGTTGAGAGAATGAAAGTTATGAGAGGATTAGAAAGCTATGAAAACTAATCAACGAGAGAGATCACAATCAAAGGGTCGTAGATCTGAACTCCCGGGGGAGACTGTAAAGTGTGATAGAGTAGGTTGCGGTAGAATCCATACTCACATCCACGATCCTAAAACGGAATCGCGTGGAAGATTCGTCTAGCCATTTATCTAGTAGCGTGGTGAATACTCTCCACGCGCTAAATATCTAGCGCGATGTTTCACCATCGACCTAGTATATGACTAGCGGTCATGAGAACCCTGTCTCAATGACTATTCACGAAATGAGTCGAACTCAAACCCTATCTAGGATCGAGTCGCGAATAAGGCTAAGAGCCGTGTATTGCACAACACCCGACTACGTCGTGTGTTGCCGCCCGCTACTCTATAATTTACCAGCTGCCATTCCCTTAGTAACTCTAACCTTTACAGCTCCTGCTGGCTTTTATTGTGCTGTTGTGATGATTGCACTAACCTTAAATATTAATGACTTATTCCTACCCCTAACTTGTATTGAACCATCAATGTTCAGTTTTGTTGGCTTATGACTATCTCTATCCTTATACTTTGGCTTCACAGGAATAGGAAATAGGAAATAGGATATAGGAAATAGGATATAGGATATAGGAAATAGGAAATAGCATTAAGTCAGCGGGAGCTGCGATACCTCGGCAGAAAGACAAATAGAAGAAAGAGGATCATGTTTGAGATTGCATCCTTCTTTCAAGGTAGCCCTGGCGACAACACCCGACTTCGTCGTGTGTTGCCGCCCAGTATTATTCCCTCATTATAACCTTCTTTTTTATGTATGCTAGCCCTGGCGACAACACCCGACTTCGTCGTGTGTTGCCGCCCACTATCATTCCCTCATTGTAACCTTCTGTTTTATATTAAGCTAGCATTGATGTAGCCATGGGCCAACCCATAATTTACAGCTATCATTCGATCGTGTAACTCTAAATTTACAACACCTGCTGGCTTATTGTGTTTTTGTCCTGAGTGCACTAACCTTAAATTACATTGATATATTCCTACCCCTAACTTTTATTGAACCTTCAATTTCCAGTTTTGCCAGCTTACATTATCTCTATCCTTATACCCTGGCTTCACCGGAATAGGGGATCCCACAGACACAAAACAAGGGGATCCCACAGACAAAAACAAGGGGGATCCCACAGACAGAATTTTTGCCATTAAAGGGGTAGAGGACTCAGGCAGTTAACCTGCCGAGGTTAAAGGGGTTGAGAACTCAGGCAGTTTACCTGCCGAGGTAAAGGGGTTGAGAACTCAGGCAGTTAACCTGCCGAGGTAATAGGAAATACCAAAAAAGGGGGTGAGGGCTCAGGCAGATAGACTGCCGAGGTAAATTTGAACACTTCGATAATCGAAAAGGGGACATTGTGATCCTTCACCATGATCTAGGGTACAAAAAATTCAAAAACTTCGCATCTCCTTCACCATTCCGACTTAACGGCAACATTCAAAGGAACAGCATCGAAATTAGCATCCTATGGCAAGGCAACCCCATCAGCACTGTCAAGACCTTCGGGACACGACACTGCAGCCTATGCAACAGGGAGCGACTCGAGATACTGAAACGATCCAGAGAATCGCCAGGAAACCTGATCAACTCCTGGTACCACAGAGTAAAGCCTTTGCTAGTCTAACTAACTAAGTTGTACAGCACTTTCGTGATCGGCATAAAAAGAGCCCCCGAGGGAAACCCACTACCGGTACCTGGTATGTACATATCTTGCCTCGTTGGCTACAACTGCAAATTTCCCTTAATCTGCAATGTAAGCGAACTAGTCAAGAGATTCAACGAAGGCTCACAGTGTCCAAGCTCATTCCAGCAGACAACGCCAGAAGTGTGGTTTGGATATTTACTTGTGTTGGTGGAACATTCCTTCGCGGCAGCCATTGTGGAACTTGTACTCTTTCCATCGTCTTCAGGCATACACCTCATAGCCAACGGTACGGTATCCCGGAGGGTTGTCATTATGGCTGATTGGTTGTGGCTGAAAGTGCTTCATCGCGCTGGCTGTTGCACCAAGCTGCTCAGTCGAGATCCTTGACTTGAATTGCACAGCCAGTTGTACCTGCATAGATACAATGGTAGCGTGACTTGCTTTCGAGGAATGTTCGACCTGTTCATAGTCCTCCTGAGATGCATTGCAGTGCCTGAAGTTCAGCTCGAGCGGTAACACTACGCTACGGGGTCGTATTGTCGTATTGGCTTTCGCCATCGTGCCGTCAAGGCTTCAAGTATGTATGCCATACAGATATAGATAACGCTGTCCAACTGCTCTGCATCATCACCAACGCTACTCAAGTGATTGTGCCCCTAATCTTGATGTGGCTGGTTAGATTGTGATATGGTACTCTTCATCAGAGAAGTGAAGTAATGTGTACTAAATAGTCTTATTTACACTGTTACAGATCAACGCTGCGTTCAAAGTATAGCAGACCAAAATCAAAATCACGCCATCATGGCACATCCATTGACGGCAACTGATCGTCGGAAGGGACTTCTTTGGGAAGGACAACGAGAGATCCTGTTGTAGGAGTCCACAGCGGACATCATGGCTGCTGGTCTTCTCTTCCTGATTGCTTCCACTCTTCGAATGCATTCCATTTTGGCTGCTTGGGCCTTGTAAATAGCAAAGTCAGAGCGAAACCTGATGTAGTCCTCATCTTGATAAAACAACTCCTTGGCTTGGTCGCTGTCAAGTGGTTCAAATGTCTTCACAGACGAAACTTCCTTGCCTTGGAATGTAACTCTTCGTGAACATGACATGATTGCTTTTGGGTAGTGTAGAAAACGGTTGAGACTTGAGAGATTGTGAGGCTGCTTGTTTCAGGTATTGGAATTGTGAGCACATCCATGATGGAGCTTTGGTGTTTGATCATGATCGAACCACCGTGTTGTTGTTGTTTCGAACTTCCAAGTCTAGACAGGCCAGCTACCAGAAGGCTTTTTTTGAGAATGTATGTGTGTTCCACAGCTTGTTCCACCTTCTTTCACAGTAAGATTGGTTGTTAATGCCTTATGCACTTCTACTGGCGAATTCTAACAGAACAGTTCCGGGAATCTTTGAGGAGGCTAATATTAATTAAATCATGATTACCATTACCCATTCATCTGTACTGAGTAGGCCCTTTCTCTAATTCTGCTGAATGCATTCTCTTATGTCATAATAGCCCCTTTCTCCCGTAGTACCAGAAGCAGTTAGATGTTAGATCCAGTTGACAGTATCATACAGGCAACTGTTGTCTGTTGTTGGTTCAGCTTCGTTGTTGGTTGTCCTCTGAAGAAACCGCGTCACACCCTCACGCTCGATCGCAGAGCCTCAGTTTCGAAATTGAAGAAGTACTAATAAGTGGTCGTCACTGGCATTGCTCCGTTCAATGATCAACTATCTTGCTCTACAGTACCAGATAGCTACCAGATACCGGTACAGTGTACCGGTAAACCACATACATGTTAGCTAGTTGTTTGAAAGAATAGAGCAAGCCAAAAAGCAACAGAGGACGAAGTACCATGTACGGTATGCATATGGTGAGGCCGTTTCCTTCTTGGAGCCCGGGCGGCTGCGTGTTCGTTCTTGGATCCTCCCTTCTGCACAGCAAAGAAACCATCGCACCGGTTTGGCAATTTGGAGGAAGGCGACTGGTCGATACCCGCCTAAGTAGTAGCTAGCTAGTTCATGATCAACTCTGAAGCTGTACAATCGAGTTGTCTGACTGATGATAGAGCAAAGAGAGCTGCTCTATCGATCAAAGAAGCAATGTACCTCTCCTGGGTGGAAGCAAGGAGCTACCGCCCAAACTATTTAGCGTTCGCACTTCTTTGTCTTGCCGTCCGATCAGGCTGCTGGCGAACCTCATAGTTTGATCCCTGTGGGTGATGGGTGGTAGTCCTGATAAGCAAGGATGAAGGAATCATTTGCCGCGAGGAATGAGTGTCGGATGCAGTATTTGGTAAAAAGCAGGCACAGCGGTAACTACTAGCAGCAAGAACTGGCTGAACAATCGTGATGATGGATAGAGGATAGAGACAACCTGGTAGTAAATACTGTGCTACAAATGTACGACCAGCAAACCCCATTCATCAAGCAGCCAACCACTCCGTGTTCTTTCTTTGCGTCTTGGCGTCTTCGCCCTTGAGCTGTAGCTGTTTCGTTTGCTTGCTTTCAACCGCAAAGTGCCCTAGTCTCCTTGGGAGTTCAAATTCTTGGCACTTATTTCCTTGTCATCGCAGAAGCTGTGTTTCCGGTTCGTGCGCGATGTGTATGCGGTGGGGCCGCACAACCTAACGGTACTATAGCAACCAGCCAGTGGCCTTTTCTACCAATCATCTTTCATATAATCTTTCCTACTAGTAGTGTTGCTTAATGTGCGCTGTTGACGGTTGCTTGAGTTTCAACGCTGTTTCATACCGTCTTCGTAGTTCGTAGTCACATTTCTCTTTACACATACATGTGTATTCACGGCGCCATAGGCCAGTGGCTCCAAGTTTGCCGCACCGATTGGTCATGGCCGCACGTGCAGTTCTCAACATTCCTTCCTTACACTTAGACAGAAATGTCATCGGACAAGAATTTCGCCTCAGCAACACTCACAGCTGGAAGATCAGTGGCCAAAGGCTCTGGGGTGTCCACGCTATCATCATCCATGGCTCCAGTCTTGTCCTGTTGCAATTTGAAATCACGCACAGAGTCTTGCTTGAGCTGCACCCACGCTTCGATCTGATCCTCTTCACCATCCAACAAAGTAAGCTCCCATCCAGCAAAGAACTTGGGCAAGAAGAAGAGACGGGAAGGAATGCACAAGAAAGTCATGAAGGGGAAAGCAATGGAGATGGCCTTGACATTCATGACAACAAAGATACCAGCAAAGAAGCACATTTGGAAGACTGTGTACATGTGCACTCTCTTGCTCTCAATGTACTTCAAGAAAACAGTCTCAGGGTAACGGCTGGGTTGCTGGAAGAACAGAAGGAATCGGTTCCAGAACTGAATTCCAGGCAAAGAAGAGAGACCCATGAAGAGGAACACTCCATAAAGGACAGGAAGAGGGAGGAGCTTCAAAACACTCAAGGCGGCCATAGTCAATCCCAAGAAGAGATGGGAGAAGAACATGGTCAAACGAGTTTCCTGGACACTGAGGAATTCTCCATGGGCATCCTTCTCGGCAAGGGAGTTCAAGTGAATAATGCAGGGAACAGTGGTAGCAACCAACCAGGGAAGACCCATCAATCCATTGACACAGTTAAAGAGACCATTCAAGCAGAGATCATAGTTGTAGGCTTCTCCGTGGGTGAGCTTGTGGTGCTTGTGGTTGATCAAGTGCCAAGTGATTCCATTGTCAAGGTAGCAAAGCAAGAAGGCCATGATGGCAGGGCCAGCAGCAGCAAATGGAGCCCAGCTTGGAACACCACCAAGGTCAACAAACCAGTTGCGGGCACCAACAGAGGCTTCTTGTTCAGGGCACTCATCGGGCCAGAAGGTGTCACAGGCTTCAGTGCAGCACTGGAAGCTAGGTTCAAACTTGTCTGGAACTTGGAGGCCTTCAGTCTGCACCTCAGGGAATAGAAGTTCCTTGATAAGAGTCCAGAAGACAACACTCATGGTGACAGCAAAATCATGAACAGAAGTACGGATCATGTCACTGCAGAAGAAGGAGGAGAACTTGAAGCTGCGGAAGAAGAAGATAAGGGCGGTGGTTCCAAAACCAAGGATAACACTCAAGAAACCAACAGTCAAGTACTCGTAGTCAACTTCATCTTCGTATTCACCATGGCTCCTGTGGCTGGGGTCAAGGTAGCGAAGGATACCAGAAGGACTGAAAGGATCACCAACAGCATCCATCACAAAAATGGCCACAATGAGCAAGGCAAAGATTTCATCAGTGAAACGGGTGGCCAAGCGGACGTAGCGGGTCAAGTCAAAGAACCCAGCAGCAAAGCAGTACCCAAAAAGCCAAATGGAGATCCAGGCATTCCAGTTGATATATTCAATGCCAGCACCTTCAGCAATGTTCTTGATAGCAGTAGAGATAGCCAAGGCGGGTCCAGTGGAACCAATGATGCACATAGGCATTCCTCCAATGAGACTGTAGGCAATCCCAATCCAGGAAGTGGCAAGGATGGTTTCAATGGCACCCATCTTTTGGTTGGACATCTTTCCATAACTGGCACCAAAAGCCAAGGTAGGAGGGATGATGGAGATGAAAATCAAACAAGAGACAGCAATTGTCTTTTGGTTGAAGTTGGTCATCTCCGCAAACCAGTGGGTTCCAACAGTCCTCTTGATATCACCAAGGATACCAGAACCCCAAGGTTGGGCAGGATCAAGAGCAACTTTTCCAGCATTGGGATCAATCTCTTCGTTGGTGGGAAGAGTTAGACGGGGTTGGCCTCCCTCCTTGTACTCCCTGGCTGTTTTCATGTGCGAGTCAGGGTTGGCAATGGAGGAAGGGTGTTCGGTCTGGACGAGTTTCATGATGAAGGTTGTTCAAAGAGAAGAGACGAGAAGGAAAATTGTAAACAAACAAAGACTTTCTTGCAGTTCCTGGCTGTAGTTGCTTTCTGGGTTGCTTCTGGGTGTGAAGGAACCTAAATTGTGAGCCTTACAACTCGGCGAGAGGCGAGAGGACGAAGTTGACGGCCAAAGTTGCTCTTTACCATCACGATGATGTCACGCCTCATCATGATTGATCTTGCTGATCTTCCGAGAAATCAGTCTTACGTCAGCAGATTTAATGATGATTGCGTGCACTTCAAATGAAAGAGTTAAAGGAAACTTTGAAAACGCTGCCACGCAAACCCTCATCAGCTGGATCGATTGATCATCCGATCCGATTGAATCAAATCATTCGAATTGAATCATTCGAATCGAATGATTCAATCACCTCCTTCGTATGTTTGACTGTTCCGCCACAAGCCCTCTCTTCGAGGTGAAGGAAATAGATCTGCCCTTAGCATGCGACGGAACTGCAAATTCTTTGGCTGGATCCTTTGGAAACGATCTGATGCAAGCAAGATTGCATCCGTGGCGATGTATCCAAACCGAATAGTCTTTGTGCAGTTGTGTTTGGGGCGGTATGTATTGCCTTTCGGCACGGACAGTGATTTGTTTGTCGGAACAGAAGTGCCATTCGAGACCTATCTGCGTTGATATTGACGTATGTGTTACCAAAGCAATCACCATCCTGGTAGGTTTCAAGAACAGCGCGTGCTGCTTGCTTGCAAAGATCCGTCTATGTTCTCAAGCCCTATCGAAATGGGATCGCTCCTTAGGAGTGCCTCACGTTTGCTCGTAGTTTGGGCCGGAGATGCCGCTATGCTGGACGATGGGATTTGAAGCAACGATTTCAAGTGGCGGAACGGCGATCCCCATGCAGGGAAATTGGCTTCTAAAGTTCTTGCTCGCATTTACGTTTCGCGGAGCAAAACGTTCCTGATTCTGGCAAACATGCAAACAAGCAGAGATCTGATGGCTGCTGCTGCTGTGAAGATCTACTTGTCCATTCATCAATCGGACGATACGGTACCATGCTGGAGAATGGCGCAACGCCCCTTGCCTCGCATCGATTTCGTGTGGGCTGAGCCTTCAAATCTTGCCCGAAACGTGGAAACGCTAATTCTACTACAGTATGTATCTGTTCGTAGTATCTCTGTAGACTATGTTAAATTTACTAGTCTTTCGACCGTTTTGCTAGCTAGTCTTCACTAGTTCCCACGCTGGCGCCCGCCGAGGACAGCCTTCGACTTCCAACAACAAAAACAACGGCAAAAAAAAGACATCCCCTGTCTACTGTCCTCATGGGGGTTGGTTTCTTGTCCACTATCCTCGACCATCCCCTCGACCATCCTCCACCATGTCGACGACGACGACTAGCACCAGCCCTCCTCGTCAGCCAAAGAAAAGCAAAGTTTGGACACTCTGGGATGTGGATGGCATCGACATGGCCCGCCCTGACACTTTCATTGCTCGCGAAGGTCTGGTTGAGAAAGCAATGACTTTGGCCAAAGAGCATTGCTTTCTGGTGGTGGGATCACCTCCGGGGACTGGCAAATCATCTCTGTCGCAGTTGATGCTAGAAGAAATCTTGAAGGCAAATCGTGAAGCAAATCGTGAAAGGGGGAAAATTACCGGATTCTATCTGCGCAAGTCATCGAAGAAAGAAGGGTTTTGTTTGTATGAATACGTAAAAGAGAAAACAGGGGTATGCTTTGACAATAAGACTCTTGGAGAAGAGGTAAAGGATTGTTCGGAGGTCTGGCTTTTGTTTGATGATGCACAGAAACTGTACCTGGAAAGTTGTGACGATTTCTGGGAGGATGTTGTGAAGGAAAAGCAGAGGAAGCCATTCGGGGAAAAAACAACAGTTATTGTTGTTGTTTTCGCAACATACTACCTTAGTCATGAGAAGTCATCGCCAGTCTGTTTCAAAAATCAGGCGCGTCTTCGCTTGTCCGATTTACTGTTGAGCAAAGACGAAGCTAGAAGTCTCTTCGAACGTCGCTGCGTGTACCCACGGTGGGAAAACTATTTCGACAGACTCTTCTATTTGACCAGTGGCGCCGCTGCTGCTTTCACCATTGCGATGAATCAAATTACGCGTCGCATTCAAGAGGGGGGCCACAACCGTGATGAGGAATTGTCCGAAAGCGAGGCTGTGGAAGATTTGGTCGAGAAAATACCACTTGACGAACTGAAGCGTTGCTTCCCTGTCGGAAAAGTTGATTCTGTTTCCAACGCAGCCATCTTGGATGCTATTGTTAACGCTTACCATGTGGACATGGGCGAAACAGCAGTGCCAAATAGGGAAGAAGTGGAAGAACAACCCGTCACAAGATTGATCAAGGCTGGAATTCTAGCAGAAACAGGGCGATTTACAAGTCCTTTTGCTCAGAGATTCTACTACCAGATTGTATTCCCACGTGCTCCATCCAGCGCAGATCTACCTCCAACATTAGACGAACTGATTATACAGGCAACCCAGAAATTGTCTGCTCGCCGACTCCGAGTAGCACGTCAGGAAATAAATGGTGTTCCAGCAGCTGTTTCATGAAGCAATGGCATCATTGCTACCAGTGTCTTATCGCGTCATTCCGGAACTCGGTACAAAAGCTGAGATGCATGGCAAGACTGTCACAGGAGAGTTGGATTTCTACATCAGGAACGGCCGGAAGTGGGCGCTGGAACTTCTTCGCGACGGAAAGGAATTGAGGGAGCATCTTAGCCGCATCCCTGGAAAGTACAGGAACGCAGAGGCAACTTCTTGGCTCGTTGTCGACTGTCGCATGAATGTGACACCAAGGAATAAGGAAGAAAATCTGTGCATTCTGGTTTTCGAGGAGAACTACAGGTCCTGTCGGTGCTACATGCGTTGCAAAGAGCCAATGACTATCAAACTGGCTGCTTGAAACTCTTCGTATGTCATGTCGTATTATTTTGATCTACCATGCTATCCATGTAATAACAATGGAATAATCAACTTGTTAACTCCAAGATAGTGCAACCGTAATTTGGGTAATGGTTCCTCACTCAGGCTCCATGATCCTCGGTTCCAGGAGCCCCCTAGTCTAACTTGTTGGCTCCACCCTCCTCTTGGTACTGGTACCGGTATTCTATCACAGTGTACGGTAACCGTAATTAGGTAGATCTACCGGTACTGTACATGTATGAAACTCGATCCGCCCGGCGACAGCAATCATGATATTGCCTGTAGGCCAAATTTGCTAGTTTTTGGATTGTTTCGCTAGTCTCAAGACTAGCAACCACGTCAGTCATGTAACCGTCAAAGATTTCGACAGTTAAAATCATGCCAATGACTGGAACACTCGTGATTAATCTTGACTTTGCGACAAGAACCTCATACAGTACGTACACTACTAGTACAAGCCAACGGCGCCGCACGACAACAACAATCGACACCTCAGCCACTGCCTCTGTAACAACCACCACCAACCCTCCCCACCGTGGTAGCGAGGACGATACCCTCCTCCATGTCCTCGCCAACTTTCTTTGCTGATGCCCGGGATGAGCTCCTTGTTAAGGTGGACGCCCATACGTAATAAGCCAGCGACAAGCTGTCAATAATACCAAGCCTTTTGCCGTGTTTTATCGCGAGAGAACAACAAACAACAAAGAACTCGATCCTGCTGCTGAAAGGGGTGTTATCTCGACCAATACTCCTTTTCGCTGACCTTACCGCTGGACGGAAGTGTCTTCTATATAGTAGGCAAGGTGTATCCGTCGGCAATTCCATGATGTCGGATACGCCTGTTACTTTTCTGACTCGATGCAGAAGGTGTGCCGATTCTTCGATTCGGCTGCTTCAGACCGATAAATCTCGATGCCTGCTTCCGGTAGTGCCCTGCAACCATACACTACTCTCTTCCTTACGCTACTAGCTGCAGATAAATATATACTTGTAGGGCATTACAATCAGCAGGCATCAAGAGAATGAGGTCTCTAACACACACAGTTGATTTTCGAGGCTAATGGACTTTTTCTTGTTCTTTCGCAATTCGATGGAATCTTTGTTTCACCGGTTGAATATTTTGAAATCCAGTGTAAGGGCCGATCCGTGTTATTTGTACTGTTTTAGTATAGAAGCGTTGCCGGCGAGTCACGGTGCAGCCCAAAATGTGAGGTCAAATTTTGAATCTTTTCTCGAGCCCAAATACAACGGTATTGGCGAGAATACCCGCAGAAAGAATGATCCTGTTGAACACGTACACGTACCGGTACAAATGACAACACGTACCTACTATCCAGATAGATAGAACGTCGACTGCAGCAACAATACGTGCTACATGTACAGGTCCACGAAAGTTCAAAGGAAACGCATGCACTACATGTAACATTAGCAAGCTAGCTAGCAACAAGCTAGATGCTAGAGCATTGTTTCAGATGCGTCTAGATTGCATTGTTTGGGAGGACATCTTCCTCATCCTCACTGCTGTCGAGGTCTTCCTTATCAGAAGTGTCATCATCTAGTTGAGCAAGATGCTCTGTTCCAGGCACTACAGTGTCCAGTGGCATCTCCTCCAAGAATGCCAAATCCTGGGCTCCATTCTCTTCCAAAGCTAGCAGATCTTGGGCTGTAGCATCTTGCTCATCAGTTTCCTGGTTGATTGTAGGCAAAGCAGCAGCAGCACTAGTTGGCCCTTGTGGAGAGACCTCAGCCACAATATCAGCTAGCTTTTTGCTAGTTTCTCTGCAGAAGATTGGTGGAGCTTCAATGTCACTCTTGCCAGCATACAAACATGACTTCTTTGCCTTCTTGCTGACATGACCAGCCTTGCCGCAGAAAGGACAATACTGCTTTGCTTTCTTTGCTTTCTTACGAACTGGAGGCATCGTCCTGAGATCCTCCATTGTGACGTCCGCCATATTGAGGCCTGGGTGGTAAACGCCCGATGATTTTGCAAACTTGGTCTTGAATTCTTCCGTTGCGCTGACCAGTTTCTCGTTTTTCCTCTTCTTGCGCCCCTTTTTGTAGTCAGTCGTCTTCTTCCTGGCTTGTCGCTTCTCCCGGTTTTTCTGCACAATGCCCAAGCAATGAGTCAATTCGTCAGTCATTTCGATTCCGAGCTTGAACAGTAGCCGCCGATAGAATTGCTCGTAGCCAATTGAATGGATGCAGACCGCAATACCGAGGCGATTGGCAAGGGAACAAGAGCTTGCAAAAACTTTGTTCTTCGGAGCAAACCAGGTTGCCAAGCTATTGAACGATTCGTTAGCATTGGTATCCAATCCGTGGGCCAATTCCTTCAACCGCTGCAACGTAATGTATTTCGAAACGATTGCGTCCAGTAGCTGGTAGAGTTCCGAATGTTCCTCCTGTGTTCTGTAAACCTTCTTGCTTTTCTTTTGCTCGTCCTCCGTCTCTTTTGATCGAGCACACCAAGCTCCACAGTTCGTATGGCTGTCAAAGTGGTGATCCAACACCGCCTTGCCACGGCTTTCGAATTCAGCTTCCTCGATCTCTTGGAGCGTACGAATAAAATAGGCAAAGTTCTTGCCAATACGAATAGAATCCATTCGGCACATCCCCTTCTTCTTTTCGACTGTCGACAGATCCAAACGGATCAGCTCACCCGTCAACTGTTTGCGGCGGTGGTTCGGATCCGCCACAAACTTTGGCTCTGGGATATCTCCCGGTAATTTGCCTTTGTCGGGCCGTTCCTGGAGCTCGCCCTTGTTCTTCCCTTTCGTAATCTTCACCATGGGAAGAACGTCGGTCTGATAGTTGATTTTGTAGTTAGCGTTGCTCCATTGCAAGTCGGCTCGGATGGATGAGTCGTTGTCGCAACACAACCGACGCAAGGTCACTTTTGACTCCCGGAATAACCCAACGGCAAGCTCCAAAGCCAGAGCGGCTTCCATTGACCCAGACGAATCGTTGGGATTGTGGTTCCGGGTGCAATTGTGGTCAGGTACCGCTGGGCGATTGTCAGCATCGGTATCCGCATGCCGTTTTGCCCAAGCAATGCATCTGCTGCAAACCTTGCTTTTGATGCCAAACGAAATGATCTTTCTTGTAATGGCACCAACAATCACGCCGTGGCCTGACACGGAATTACGCAAGTGACCAGATCCCTTCTGTTGCCACGCCATATCGTAGGCCCCGTCGACAAACGGCATCTTCTCCTTGAGTAACGTGCCGTTGGGATCATTCACCGCTGCCATCCAATCTAGAAAAGCTTGCTCGTTGGCTGTCGATTTCCGCACCTCCTCAACTAGATTTTCATGGATGACTTCTTCCATCAACTCCCGAATGGATGGTGCGATTCGTTCTTCAATAATTCCGAATGAACGAGTCTGCATGGTGGTGTCGTTTGGTAATCCCAAAAGTCCGAGGATTCTGGCCGCTTCGGTTCCACCGTCACCATTCGCAATGTTGCCCAATACGAACATCACATTCACGGCATGATCCGTACTCCTCTCCACTTTGTCGTTGCCAACGGCATTTGCATGCATTGTTGTTGCGTTTGGCTTTTTGCTGGTATATACGTAGTCGCAATCATCATTGCTACATTCCAGGTTGAATGACGAAGCAATACAGCAATTGTGGATGTTGATTTGGATGGAGCCATTACAGCCGTCGGTTGGACACGACATCTCACGGAAACATTGGTCCAATTGGTCAATTTCCAGAATGACTCTTTGGTGGGGCTTCGTGTTGAATGTGGGCTTTGATTCTCCCTCATTTTCCTCTTCCGTGGTGCCACCTTCTTTGTCTGCTGCCTCCTCTTCAAATTCCGGCGCAGTTGGGTTGTCATCGTAGTCGTCGCTCATCTCCTCACCGTACAAAGTCCTCGCATAATTTGGTCTTCCTGCCCCATTGTGCCTCGTCCGGGTAGTTACGGCTGAATGGCCACTGCCAGGAATTCTCCAGTCACTGTCTCTAGAAGCTAGCTTGGCTGATTCAGCAGCAGGGGTAACCCTCCAGTAGCCTTTTGGGTCAGTACAGGGCGTGACAACGTTATCAGGTGGCGACATTACACTGCGGCGCGTTGGTTAGATTCTGATATTATGGCGCTGTATGTTCAATGCAAAGGTGCTCTCTGTGGGCATTCTCTTCGAGAAAATGTACCGGGTTCGAGAACAGATCAAAAATTTGGCGGCCCGTTGGTGGGACGAAGCGTCGACGTGCGCGCAAAGACTGAAAGAATTATCGGTAATGTGCGCGAAACCAGCTTACTAGCTAGAATTCGGAGAAGATAGCGCGAACAGGGTATCCGGCCAAAATTCTTTCTATCAGGATTCCAAATTCCTCAACATATACGAAAGATATGGGAAGATCGTATGTTTCGAACGTCAGTATTATTAGTAAACTACTGCTGGCTTATTACGTGTGAGCGTCCACCTTAAGTCATCTGAAAAGCAAAGGCTGGCTTTGAATCATTTCAACTTCTTTTTGAAGACATACTGTGTGCAGATCAGCATCAAGATAGTAGAAGCAGCCGCAATTCCCTTCCGAGGTATGCCCAGGAAGTCCTCAAACAAAGCTGTGTTTGAGTTTTGGGACAAGATGATCGGTGCCTTTATCACCTACATGGCAACTTCCGCAAGAATTGGTTGCAATCCAGGAGCCAACCGCCTTGCTTATCAATCGGCAACACAATATTGCTCAGCCATCTGTAAAGGTCTACTTCGAGAACAAGTTCAGGAATGAACCCGACATTCCAGTATTCCAAGCAGCGCAATGGAAGAAGCTTCGAAGCAAACTCCGTGGTAAATACCGCGAGGGGAATCGAGCATCGGGTAAACAAATGACTGAAGGAAAGATCTCTAGTACCCGTGAAGATCGAGAGGCGATGGCCACAGGATGTATCTGGTATGGCACTGCGGAAACTGCTGAGTTCTGGCATCTTCTCAATACAAGTTTCCATCTAAGCGGTCGCGGCAGTGAGGTGTCTCTAATCAAACCAGATGGACTATCCAATGTTGACGTCAATGAAGACGTCTACCAATACCGGATTCTTGGACAGGACG